TCTAATAAAACGTTGTATTTTGTATATGTATAGTATTTTGAGAGTATTTTACTGACTTTTAGAGCATTAGCATATGCATTTTCTCGTGATTTTAAAAATCGTTGATCTGAAGGCTTAAATTCGTGAATATTTAATGCTTATACTTTTGACTGAAGGCCATTTTGACTGAAATTTCCTCAGTTTATCTGGTAATTATCTCACATTGAGATCAATGCTACTTTTTAAATCTTGTCAAAATTTGCTTAAATTCTTGAATATTTCATTAAAAATTTCTATGAAGATTGATTGATTTACTTAAAGGCCATTTTGACCAAATTCTTGAATATTTCATAAATAATTAAGATGCTATATATATACATTTTATATATTATCGATTTTTCTTTTATGCCAAAAATCATTAGGATATTAAGTAAAGATCATGTTCCATGGAGATATTTTGTAAATTTCCTACCGTAAATATATCAAAACTTAATTTTTGATTAGTAATATGCATTGCTAAGAACTTCATTTGGACAACTTTAAAAATGATTTTCTCAATATTTAGATTTTTTTGCACCCTCAGATTCCAGATTTTCAAATATTGTCCTATCCTAACAAACCATACATAAATGGAAAGCTTATTTATTCGAAAAATGTACACTTATGACTGGTTTTGTGCTCCAGGGTCACATATGTAAAAAGTGTTATTACCTTTTAGAAACCAATGTTTAGCGTAACCTTTTATAAATCATTTTTATAATTCATAAATTTTTAATTAATTTACATAGGACTGCAAAATGTAATATATAATTGGCTGAGTTGAATGTTTCGGCACTGCTTTGAGCCAGTTGTGGCAAAACAGAGGCTGCTATAAACGGTTTGTAGGTAAATTTCCCACAGTTGTGAGTGAAAAGCAGCGGGTGCGCTGGGTGCGCAGGTCAAAGGTCGCTGGAAAGCCACAGTGATTGGTGCAGATGGTTTAGGGGATTTTCCCTTATTTCGTCCAGATCCCCATGCTCTTCCCGACACACAGATGCCCATTCAGGGCAGACCCCCATGGATGGAGGGGGGGCACCAAAGGCCCTTTGTGCCCAGAGAGGAGCTCTGTGGTCAGACACTGGAGCCACTGTCTTCCCCTCTCAATGGAGGCTTCTTCATGCTTTTGCAATAACGCTGGAATGTTTCCCTTTATGCTTTTTTTGTTTGTTTTAATACAGACTTCAGCCCAGACACACACTGTATCACAAACCCACTCTCTCTTGCTCTTGAGCTCGTGTACCGAGCTAAGAAAGGGACGTGTTGGAATGGCATTGTAGGTTTCGAGATCTCCACCCTGTTTTACTGCTGAGAGCTTGCGGTTACTGAAGCCTCACAGAAATAGACCTGCCTCAGAGGAGTGAAATATGCCAGAGAAGAATTCCTGGGGATGGGAAAACATGTTTCTGAAGGGCTGTTGTTTCCACTCTGTGTGAACATTAGGCCGTGGACTCTTCAGTTGGGTGAGCGAGTTCGCTTCGCCCTTCTCCAAAAACTCCCCTTGGTTTTCTCTTCAGTCTTTCATTATGCCACACCACAGTTTCTCCTGTCCTCTCATCCGTTCTTCATTCCGACATGCAGTGGAAAATCACCCCATCTATTTTCTAAATGCATCTCATAGATCTTAATCCATGCAAAATCCATAAAAAATTAACCTCAAAATGTTATAGTTTCCACCCAGCCAGTTAAAATTTACACATAAGTTTTTATATTTCTCATGATTAAAACAACTTTGATCTGAAGGTTTAAATTCATGAATAAATAAATACATATTTTTTATATAGAAAAATGCATTTATTCATTTTTTTTTTTATTATTTATTGTGTTTTTTGAAAGCCCATTTTGCTTGAAATGTCTTCGGTTTATCTGGTAATTATTTCACATTGAGATCAATGCTACCTCAAAATCGTCTGGTGAATCGTCACTTCTTTCTGATGACATATGCAGGACTTCTCCAATCATTTAGTTTGGTTAAACCCTGCGCCTTTCTCCCTCCATCCAATCAACAACTAATGCACAGAACCGAGTCCCCACCGTACTTTTTTTTTTTTCTCCCCCAACAATGACTCCATTGACTGCCATTTGATCATGACTTGAATTTTTCACTTTTTACCTTGCTCTGAACTGGGAAATTAGTTATACCTAACCAGACGCAATGCATTAACGTGACGAGTAATAAAAACTGTATTACTGTCTGCTGCATTGCATGTTATAGCCCCACCCACCATGAAAGCTCATTGGCCCAAAAACCCACTCCACATAGCTTATAATTTTATGCATGTTCTGGTTGGCTGGGATTGTGTTGTATTTTCATGTTCAATGTGCACAGACTGAAATCTTGTTGCATCAAATGTTCTCTTTGTATGTTCATGCATTCTTGTATTCTTGTAGCTCAAACAGTAGAGCTTGACCTTAAGGTCATGGGTTTGATTTTCAGTAAACTGATGAAAATGTAAATAAATGTTTGAATCGGTACTTTTTCAACCTGTAACTCCAAAGATTGGTGCACATGGATTGCAGGATTTTGTTTCAAACTTGACTTTGTACACAGAAGGAGCAGTTTTGAGTCATGTACTCATCGCTCCTTTGCATAAAATTACAATGAATGAGGAGCGGACAGACTAAACAGAACAGACTAAAATTTACAGTACTGCATCAGATGACGGATGAAGAAGAGTTGGTAATATTTTAGTGGTGAAGTTTTTTTATTATTATTATTTATTGATTGATTGTCGTTTTGGAGTTTGACAGTCCTAGTTCTCCTTCATGCACATTCATTTTTGTTGCATTACTTTGATTCTGTGTTGCATGTAAGAAAGAGTTTGAATCGGTTCTCTTCAGTCTCAAACTCTCCAGCATTACGCGGGTGCTGTAAGCCTTTCCGTGACTAGCTGTCATTAATCTGACTTCTCTGGGGGCAGTACGTTGAGTGCATGCCAGCGCACATCGACAGCAGGAGAGATTGAAGAAGGCAGTGAAAGAGTGTTGGGCTGGTGGAGAGGGGGAGTCAAAACAGAGCAGCTTTTCTTGCTTTGTGAGCACAGGCTCCGGGAGGTTTCTGGGAACTTCTAGAGGCCGCTTGCATTACGATGCGGAGAAGTGCAGGCCAAACAAACAGAGCTGCTTATCAGTTGTGCGGCCGAGACCACCCTCAGGAGAGAAACCGGCTCCCAGCGCCTTCCCACAAATCTAAATCATCCTCATAATGAAGCATTGTTCTTACGCTCTCGTCACCGTCTTGGCTTGTGCCTGAAATAGTTGTGCTGAGATCACGTGTGAGGTTAAGAGAGTTGAAAAGATCTGCGTGTGCTCACCGTTGGGAACTGGTTTAGCTGATTTTAATGTTTGTTTCTTTCAGAAATCTGGCATTCAGAATAACTGCCACTGGGGCATAAGCAGATAGGAAATTATTGAATGAGAGTGTTGGAGAAACAGATCAAAATTGACTAAATTTGAGCACAAAAGCAGTCATAAGCAGCACAGGTATATTTGTAGCAATAGCCAACAATACATTGTATGGGTCAAAATTATCCAAAAATCATTAGGATATTAAGTAAAGATCATGTTCCATGAAGATATTTAGTAAATTTACTACCGTAAATATATCAGAACTTCATTTTTGATTAGTAATATGCATTGCTAAGAACTTCATTTGAACAACTTTAAAGATGATTTTCTCAATATTTAGATTTTTTTTGCACCCTCAGATTCCAGGTTTTCAAATAGTTGTATCTCAGC